GGAAGAATTAGGAGAAAGTTAACCTTCACAATTTCCTAGGTTTATTGAGGGGGGACACTCTAGATTTTCCAACTGTACAGTACTGAGAATCAGAACCAATTTTACTTAAATATTTCAGAACAACTTGACCTCAGCAAACTGGAGGACTTAGGGATTATGAACTCATTACAGATTGGCAACAACAGCCATTTTTCCTTTTCTTTCCCATTAACAAACCCCTATAATACTGGGATTGGCAATATACCCACTGTGAAGACTACATTTCTCAGCCACACTTGCTGTGGCTCAGGGACCAAGTTTTAGCCAATGTAAATTATAGGGGAGGACTTGTGGAAAAGCTAATGAAAAAGCTTCTTACAAAAGGGAAAGAAATACAGGAAATAACCTGCCTCAATATTCTCTTCTCTTTCCTGCTTTCTGGGACTCAGATGTATTGGCTGGGCTCCAGCAGCTCTCTTAGATCTTGAAGTCACCTTAAGGATGGAAACCAAGGATCCAGATGGTAGAGCAGAACGTCAAGGGGCCTGACACTGAGAAGGGAGTGGTGGTCACCATGGCAGAGGAATTGGGGTGGGTGGGCAGGGTGAGGGGGATAAAGAGGCACAAAAATCTCAGGCATAATATAAGTTGGTCATGGGAATGGAAGTGCAGCATGCAGAATATAGTCAATGGTTCTGTAACATCTTTCTATGTTGACAGATAGTAACCACATTAGTTAAGGTGAGGATTTAATAATGTGGGTTGCTGTTGAACCACTGTTTTGTGTGCTTGAAACCAATATAATATTGAATATCAACTATACTTCAATAAAAAAAAAAATCAAGGGGCCCGAACCCTGTGACTGCAGAGGCGCAACAGCAGCCTCCCTCCAGATTTATTTTACACAAGGAAGAAGTGAAATTATCTCTCCTACTTAGGTTTCTGTTGTATGCAATTGAACTGAATCCTAATCTGCTAATAGAGGAGCAGAATAGCAAAGTGATTAAGATGTGGGCTCTGGAGGAACACCGCTTTCACTCGATTCCTTGTTTTGTTACCTCTTAAGCAAGCACCTTATGCAAGTTACCAAACTCTTCACTTCCTCTATTTTCTCATCTAATATGAGGATAACAGCAGCACTTATCAAATAGGGTTATTGTAAGGATTAAATAAAATAATGTGTTAAGCTCTTAGAACTCTTTTGGTACACAGCAAGTGCTCAATAGATGGTGTTGCTGCTGTTAGTATTATTACTGCTACTATCTGTGGGGACTTACCTCTCTATCAATAAGGTATGGATCCTTTAGGGCAGAGACAATTTCTTATGTATTTTTGGTAAAACCCCAGGACTGGTATATGGTGGGCACCCATTACATCTTTATTAAACCATATCTTATTAGACTTTTGACAATAATTTCTTATGAGTAGATGATAAAAATCTTTTGGTATCATGCACCAGACAGGGGATGGTTGCTGGGTATGCCCACTCTCATTTAATCCTTATCAAAAGCATTTGAGATACGGGCTTGAAGGGTTTTAATAATATTAAAATAGAACAGAAATAAAATTAGACACAATGGCAAACTGGCTGTCCTTGCCTCACTCAAGTTCCTAAGAGCCTCCTGGGGCTTTAAGCAGCCAGATGTCCCTGGCATGGTGGCTTTGCTTTGCATTTCATCCCCAGCCAAAAGCATGAGAACCTCTATAAACTTTCTAGCCTCTATCCCTCAGTCTTTCAACAAGGTTGTAGTGGGAACAAGGAAAAGAAATTCTTTTCCCAGTGTGGTTTATTTAATCTAGTATGTACAAAAGGGTTTTCAAAGTTTGGACTGGGCATGGGATCTGGTTGTGGGCTGCTGAGCTATTAAAGCATAGGTAAGGCCTTTTGGACAGAGGGCAGATGCTACAGCACAAGCTGCTGCCCCTGGTGAGTCCCTCTCCGCCTGAGACAGGGCCATGGGCAGTTACAGTGCGAGGTGAGTCCAGGGAGTCACTGTAGCTTTGGGTCTTGTCAGAGAAAGTGGATCTGTTAGTCACACTCATGTCATTTTCACTTTATAAGCTGGTTTGTGTGGTGTGGAGGAGGATGCCACAGGACCAAGAAAATGTCTTAAGAGTTTGCCTGCCAATAGTTTCTATCTTGCCATATGTTTCCTCTTGTAGGTCACTGCTGCGGCAGAACGTCAATTCTGAGTCTTATAGCAGAGCAGCTCTTAACCCTCGTTCAAACTGCTTGGGATTATGGCAGAAAACAGGCCAGAGAGGGAGGCGGAGAGGTAGTTTTGCGGGGTGAGGAGATCAGAATAAGTGAGCACTGAGGGCCAGGGGGCATAAGCCTCAGGAAGGTGAGTGATCGTAGGTGCTTGAGTCTGACAAGCATTGTGCCATGAGCTTTGCATTTGTTGTCACATTTACTCTTCAGAGCAACATCATCAGTTAAGGACTAATATTATCTACAATTGGCAGGTGTGGAAAACAAAACTTCTATTATTTTTTTTTGAGAGTTTTGAGGGGATCATAACTCCCTGAAGATGGCATAGCTTGGCAGCAGCAGAGCTTTGAGGCGATGGTGGGAGAACCGGAATCTGAGAGAGGCCGTGGGAGGCGGGTCCTCCGGACCTCTGAGTGGGCGAGGAGAGCGTGTGAGAATGGCAGCCTCCCCAGGTCAGACAGGCAGGCGACAGTGTCCTCAGGGCTGGGTCAGATTTTAGTTAAGGTCAGACAGAGAAAAGGACCAGGAATTAAAATGTCTGGGGCTAGAGGGGCATTTGATTATTGTGATATGGAGAAGTGATGGGAAGTTTGGTCAAGGGAGAGGCAATATGGGGAGGGTGACGTGGGAGTGGAGAGAAGACAGCGGGGAGGGACAACAAAGGATATTAGAGTGAGAGACCTGTTGCAGAAATCGGTTATAAATGTGCTAACTTGGGCAGAAGTAATTTTTGTCCTGCCTCTGGCTGAGGGCTCCAGAAAAATTCTGACTGGCCTCAGCAGGGAGTGGAGTCAGCCACAAAGTAGAGAGAAGTGTTAAGGATCTGCCATATGTGGAGGGCGTGTTCCTGAGTGGGGGAGAGGCAGGGTTTCTGCTGGTGCCAGTCACCGCAGTACCAGGGCCTCCAGTGGGGCCAGGCCTGTGCTGTGCTGACGAGGCTTTAACAACCAACTCTGAAAACAAACAACAAAACAAGCTCTGATTTGTAGCATTTGCCAAACTTCTGTGATGTAAATACTCCCACCACAGCCTATTTCAAGTTAACAACTTGCCCTCAGTGAATGCAATGTTGTGGAGAGATGTGCACAGTGGCATGAACTGGCTCTGGCACAATGGTGGCTAGGATAGTCTTGGGCCCGAGCACCGGTGCAACCCAAGTTACATGGCCCAGGGGCACCGCGGGGTGGGGCAGGCTCCCAGAATGGCACTGGCTCTTGTTCTGGTTTCCTAATGTAAGGTAGTACCCTGAAGGATAAGATGTGGGTGATGCATGTGCAGGACTGACCATGGTTTAGGGGCCCAGGCCACAGGAGGACGGCTCCCAAAGAGAATGCAGTCTGCATAGCCTGGGCAGGTCTCAGCTTTCTGCCCTGGGCCCTCAGCAGGACCCGGTTATGTCTGCCTTGTGTTCTACTATTGCTATTCTGTTCTGTGCACTAACCCTTTCAGGTCTAAAGATTTGTGGTGATGGTGGAATCTGGCACCCTCCCCCCAAAATATTTCCTCTGCCGGAGAAGTTTACAAATGATTGCAATCAGGTTAATAGAATTTCAAGTACCCATGGAATTCATCTGTGTGAATGATTATTTTCATCTATCAGGAAAAATATTCTGCATGAACCTCAATTATTAGGATATTCATGCATATTAGAGAATGACATTGGGAAAAGGGGACAGTGGTGAAACCAGTGGGGAAGTAAACCATGACAAGAGGTAAATAAAATCAGTATGGAAATATTTTTCTCATCAAATTAAAAAGATGTCAAATATAAACCAGTGTCCTCTCTGGTTGCATGTTCCTAGTCTGTGCATCCTACATGGCTGCACATGGGTGAAGTCTAGTTACTAGGTGTAAGATATTAATGTAGGACTTTTCTTGTGTTGGTGTGCCTTAGCACACAGAACTCCTGATATAAGTCAGCTTTCCTACTTCTTCTGAAACATTTGAAGAGGCCATGACATTCACTGCCAGGACATGAGTTGTTGATCCACATGATCTGCCACCCCAGACCCCAGCAATCAGGAAGCAGGAAGTATTTTTTCCCCTCTTTTTCAAGTTGTCTGATGACCCATTCCTGGTATTCTGGGAAGATGCTGTGGATCACAACTCAAAGAGAAGAGGAAGGAGGAGGAAAAAGAAAGAGGAGGCATTTCACAAATTATCAACATGTAAGTCCTGTTACCTCATTTTACAAAAAGCACACAAATGAGTTTTATGATTCTTTCTTAAGGAGAAAAAGGCATTCGTTGAGTTACCACTGCAGAATATTAATCTGTTGAAATGCTCAAAGCAGATGGTGCTTTGTGATGCTCATAATGGCTCTACATTTCTGAGCTTGGTTTCCTCTTGCTTGGGGTCTGGGGGAGTCACAGTGCCAGTTTTCGGCTCATTAAATCCCAGTTGTATCAGATTTACTGACTTACCATTTTGCTATGCTATCTATTCTTTATTTATTATTGATATCCTAGCTATATCCACCTCCCCACAAGGGGATTGCCGTATCTTCCAACGAAAGGGAGCGTTATGCTAAAAATAGAGCCACTAGGACATGACAAGGAATGAGAAGTTGGAAGATGGCTGGGCACCAGAACCATTGTTTGCATCCCCAAATCAAAGAGAAAGGAAGCTACTACAACTGAGCCAAAATCTAGCCTTGAACTCCCTGGCAGTAAAGGCAAAAAAGGAGCATGGTGACCACTTCTCTGCCCCTTTGTATGCCTCAGTGGTAAAAACTCTAGAAGGGTGGGCGAGCAGTAACAGGCTGGCAAGCATGCTTCCCGCAGGCCTCGCACTGCACTGAGATGCTTACCTGAGAGTATGGATGCAACAGCTGCAATGATAAAGGACACAATGACACCAGGTCCCGCCATTTCCTTGGCCACCAGGCCAGACACCACGTACATCCCAGTGCCCACGCAGCTGCCAACGCCAAGCGAGATGAGGTCCACGGTGGTAAGCACCTGGGCTAGCTTGGTGCCATGTGCTGTGGTAGCCCCAGTCCCCTCCAACATGGATTCCACTGGTTTAGTGCGCAGGATCCTGGAGTGCACAGCATACCAGGCAGCGCCCCACTGCACCCGCCGGGGGTCCAGGGAGGTGAGGAAGCCACTCATTCTGTGCAATAGGGTTTCCGGTGAAGGTCAACTGATGGAAGAGGGCTGCAGAAGCCTTAGTGGATGATTCTGGAACTCATCTAGTAAACAGGAATCTCCTATTTAGAAAAGATCCAGAGGGACCCAAAGCAGCCTTCTCCTGGCATGAATGTCTGCAGGTAAAACACAGGAAAGGAGAAGATGAGACCAACCAGGAAACAAACCCTGACTTGAAGACATGGCTGGAGGTCAATGCTGAACTGGTAAAACTAGACTATCTCATAACACAGGATGTTACATTTTCCCCTTTGTGTCCCCTCCAGTTCCAAATGCCAGTCTGTAGTCTGCACTATGTCACAGGGTTATTCTGAGGTAGATGGTCTGAGTCAGGGCTCTGCCACTTACTGTTCTGGGTCCCTGGGTAAGTGACTGCATTTCTCTGTGCTTCTGCTTCAGCTGTGTTGTGGGGATCATACAGCCTCCACCTACTGTTGATGTGAAGATTGAAACAGTGTACATCTGAAAAGACCTCAAGACATTGCCTGGCACATGGAAAATTATTTCCTGTCCGAACTCTAAGTGCTTCTTACTTGGTTCTACCAAGACTTCATGATTCTTGGGCAGGTTCTTTGGGGACACAATATCCTTACTTTTTTACATAAGGCTGTAAACTTAGATCTGTGACTCTCAAGAGTGACAGTGCCATCCCATGGGGTTGTTACAGAACTTTGCTCTCAAATGAAATAAAAGATGTTTTGACCATTTTTTTTTTTGTTCTCAAAGATTGGGGCAGGAGGAGTGTTCTTGGTATTTGATGGATAGGTCCCAGAAATGCTAAATGTGTAGGATGGTGTCATACAATTTTCAGGTATCTCTCCTGATATTCTTGTAGATGGAAATGCTGATTATGATAATCTGAATCTAAATCCTAACTCTGTTTTACATATAAATGTGTGGAGTTCTTTGGATGGTTTTAATATATAAGTACATTGTCTTTTCCAGGAATGCAATTAGAGAGTAAATTGATAAAAGATCATAAGTTCTTTGGTTTGGAACTTGAGAGGAGTTCTTTACTCTTTCTGAAATCAGGGACCCCCTAAAATGACCCCCATGATCCTCCCTCTTCCATGCAGCACCACCTGCCTGCTGTTTGGAACCAGCACATTTATAGTGATTCTTCACTGAGTGCAAGCATCTGACAACTTCATTTGTACTTGCCTGAGTGTTTACATATGAAATATGTTGTATACAAGTTGGTTATTTGTGAATTTTGCTTCAGAATATTAAAATGGGGTCTGACAAAACATTTATTACAACAAACAGGTGGTGGGTCTGATAGAGTTGAGAACTATTGTATCAGATGATCCCTAAATTTTTTCAAGTCAGAAAATGCAAAGTTTATATCAAACTACTTTCTTTGGAGCCAGAGGCTTTATAAAATTCTTTAAATAATTTTTAGAGTACAGCCTAACATGGATTCTAAGTATGGTACTGATAAGCCTAGGGCATTTATATTTTCAATGAGTACCAGCCCATGTAATCTATCAGTATTATTAATTAATGCTACTTAGCACTTAATGTAACACTTGTCTGCTTTTAAAGGCTTTGCAAGCATGACCTAATTAGAAGAATCAGGTGAAATGTGGCAGTTAGGTTCCCAGGGGTTGCATGATGGACCTATTGGTTTAACTCCCTCCTAGATTTGACAGTATTGCTTCATGCTGTGTTTTAATTTTTGACAACACCTTATATATCAGTACAGTTGGATGGTGCCACTGTGTGTGTCAGAGTCACTTAAAAGCTTAAAGGGTCAGTGTTCTTAAAAAAAAAAAAAAAGATTTCCAGATTTGTGGGAAAATGTGTCATATGTATACCAGGAAGGCTACAAGAACAACTAACTGATTTACTTCAGCTCTTGTGGGGAAATTAATGTACATATCAATTTAATTTCAACCCAGCCAGCATATATTGAGCATTTATGTACCAGACATGGTGTCAGGCTCAGAGGTGCAAAGATGGGTTCCCTCCTCCCCTAAAGCTTCCAGGGTAGAATGGGAGATGGTGAACACCCAAATCGCAATCTGAGGGAGAATGCTCATTTTTATTTCCTGAAAAGCTCATCTTTTATTACTTTTTGAATTATAAAAGCATAGCATGTCTTCTGTAGAAAAACCAAACAACATAAGCAATGATGTTCAGGGAGGAAAGACAAGACAACACAATACATAAATTGACAAATAAAAGGAGATAATTCCAGAGAGGGATAAAGGCTATATTATGGGTTGAGTTGTGTCTCCCACACCCCAAATTTTAACCCCTGGGACCTCAGAGTGTGACTTATTTGGAAATAGAGTTGTTATAGATGGAATTAGTTAAGATGAGGCTATACTGGAGTAGGACAGGGCACCCACTCCAATGACTGGAGTCCTTACAAAAAGAGGAAATTTGGGTACAGAGAGAATGAGATATGGAGATGAAGGCAGAGGCTGGGATGATGCATCTACAAGCCTAGAACACCAAGGGTTGCCAGCAAACCGCTAGGAGTGAGGAGAGAGCTGCGGAACAGATTCTCCCTCAGGCAGGAGCCAACCTCCCCACCTTGGTCTCAGACTTCCAGCCCCCAGAACTGTGAGACAACGCATTTCCGTTGTTTAAGCCACATAGTTGAAGGTACAGCCGTAGCAAACTAATACAGGCTGTAAAGGACATGAAACAGGGTGATGGAGGTGCGAGGGGGTCTCTGTGGCCCTGGCCCTGGCCCTGGCACCTGAGTGATGAGGTGTCAGGGGAGTGTTCCGGAACAGTGGGTCCAGAGGGGGGATGGGCCGAGGAGGAGGTTCCAGCGCTGCGTTAGAGCTTTACGTGGGCCAGAGAACATAATCCTCACAGCAGATCCGTCTTTAGATGGAGCAGCCGGGGCTCGGAAGAGGTCCTGTAACTGCACCGATCCCAGGGAGCCCGTGAGGGCGGGCCAGCCCTTTGCCCTGGGGCCTCCGCCCGCCAAGTTCATGTCCTTACGCCCCGCTCTTCCGGCGGAGGAGCGCGGGCCACACTGCTGAGGGTCTCGCAAGCAAGATGAGGGGCCTGAGCTTATTAACTGCAGTGAGAAGCCCCTGTTGGGCTTTATTCAGGTGGGCAACGGGATATGATTTCATTTTAAAAGCTCATTGTAGCCACCGTGCAGTTAACTGAAGAATCAGTCATGTCCTGCTAAAAAATTAGTCCCAGATGGCGAAAACAGGTGAGTGAGGTGAGGACCTGCTGCTGCGGGAGGTCGCCGAGCAAGCAGAGAGCTACACGCAGCGCCGTTTCAGCGGCGCCAAGAGGGACCGGCTGCCCGCAAGGCCAGGCCGCGCCTCCCGGGCCCCGGGTATTGGAGAGCGGAGAGCGGAGAGCGGCCCCGTGGCAGGGCATGGCAGGGGTAAATGCGGGTGACCTGGACGCCAGCCTTTTGAGGGGTGGTCACAAGGTTTCTGCTTTCCAGATCTCCTTTTCAGGGATTCTCCATTTTGTCTGGGCATAGGAATTACCCAGATCTTCTAGAAATACTGGTGCTTGGCTCCCATTCCAGAAATTCCCTTTAATTGGTCTGAAGTGTGGCCCAGATGGGGGGCTCCTTAAATCCCTAGGTGATCCTAGCAAGGCATGGTTGGGTTCACTGCCCTGTGTCACCACCAGCACAAAAAAACAGGTATTGCCTGTCATGGTCAATTTTATGTGTCACCTTGACTGGGCTAAGGGATGCCCAAGATGCCATTCTTGGGTGTATCTGTGAGGGGCCCTCCAGATGAGATTAGCATGTGAATTGGTGGACTGACTGAAGAAGAAGGCCCTCCCCAGCGTGGGTGCCCATCGGCCAGTCAGTTGAGGGCCGGAATAGGGCAAAAAGGTGAAGAAGAGTGGATTCCCTGCCTCGGAATGGACACCCGTCTTCTGTTCTGGGACACTGGCACTCCTGGCTCTTGAGCTTTCAGGCTCTGATGGGGATTCATACAAGTGGTCCCTCCAGCCTGATGTTTGGGCCTTTGGACTCACACTCAATTACACCACCAGCTTTCCTGGTTCTCCAGGGTGAAGGAAGCAGATTGTGGGACTTCTTGGCCTCCACTGCAAGGGAGCCAACATCTGTAATAAATCCCCTTGTATATATCTGTATATAGCTTACTGGTTCTGTTTTTCCAGAGAACCCTGACTGTTACATTTTCATTTTCCACGTGGAGCCACAAGTCCGACAGGTGCTTCCTATTTCTCTTTCTGGGCAGGTAACTGGTCTCTTGGCAGCTGTCTTGTGAATGCAATGACTATGATACTGCACTGGCTGGAGACACCTGCTGGGGTATTGTCCTAACCAGTCCTTCATCAGGAATTGTCTGGAGGACACTGGGAAATGAACCAGGCTTGTTAGGGAGCTGATGGCTTCTGTTTGGTAGATAATTAGAAACGTGGTGAAAACACAGAGAAACAACTAGAACAAAGGTTGATGGTGGTGAGAATTCTTTCCTGACTCTCTGTTGCTTCCAGGTGATTCCTCTGAGTATTCGCTTTATTGATGCAAACAGGGACTTGGGGCATATCCTTTCTTGGTTGGAAATTTACTGGAGAGAACAAAATGTACAAAGAAAGCATGCTTCTAAGTGACTATTGACAATATCTATATTCATTACCCTCACATTATGTTAACCAAAGAGAGTTTTGGAAGCTCATTGCTGTTGTCTTTCCAAGATGAGCAATAAATGTGTGTTGTGCTTTCTCTAGCATCTAATTCAGTCTTCTCAAAATACTTCACAGCTCTAACTAAGGAAGGCTTACAGGGATCCTTGGGGAAGACAGTCATCATTGTGGTGTTGCTGGCAAGCTTGAGGGCTCAGTGGGCGCCAAGTATAATGATGGTAAAAGCAGGTTTGTGTAAGGATGAAAATAATTATGGCTTAGAAGTTCACTGAACAGGTAGGATTATCGAATTAGTTGGAGCCTGCCATTGTAGGTGAAAAGAGGAAGGAAACACAGGCTAACAAAGCAGTAAACAGCCCATGATTATCTCGCTTGATTTTACAAATACACTGAGGATTATAAAGTCCCTGTATCACATTCCGCATGAATAGCTGTGCAGCCTTTGCGGGAACATCTGGAGCAGAGGGGAACACTGGCCAATAGAGGCAGCCCCTTCA